TTGGGATGAGTTGGACCGCATAGTGAAGGAAAAGCAGCCAACAAGTGCTCAGCATTATGTGGGAACTCCTTCAAGACTATTGGAAAAGCATTCCAGGTGAAGCTGGTTGAGAGAATGTCAAGAGTGTGCAAAGCTGTCATCAAGGCAAAGGCTGACTACTTTGAAGAATCTCAAATATAAGATACAGTGGGGGAAAAACGTATTTAGTCAGCCACCAATTGTGCAAGTTCTCCCACTTAAAAAGATGAGAGGCCTGTAATTTTCATCATAGGTACACGTCAACTATGACAGACAAATTGAGAAAACAAATCCAGAAAATCACATTGTAGGATTTTTAATGAATTTATTTGCAAATTATGGTGGAAATAAGTATTTGGGTCAATAACAAAAGTTCAAATAACATTTTTTTTTTTGGTTATACAAGATTCCATATGTGTTATTTCATAGTTTTGATGTCTCACTATTATTTACCTGTAGAAAATATACCAAAATAAAGAAGTATGTGTTTCCAAACTTTTGACTCGGTACTGTCCATATTACCCGACTAAACCGGGTGCCCCCCCCACACATTAACTCGGTACCGTACCCCTTATATAGCCTGTATATAGCCCTGTACGGTACCCCGCCCTTCCCCTATATAGCCTGTATATAGCCTCTGTACCGGTACCCCTGTATATAGCCTGTATATAGCCTCTTACGGTACCCCCGATATGGCTGTACCAGCCTCCAGTACGGTACCCCCTGTATGTATAGCCTCGTACCGGTACCCCCTGTATATGCTGTATGTACTAGCCTCGGTACCGGTACCCCCTGTATATAGCCTTAAGAGCCTAACCGGTACCCCCCCCCCCTTTAGCCTGTATATAGCCTCTGTACCGGTACCCCCTGTATATAGCCTGTAGATAGCCCTGTACCGGTACCCCCTGTATATAGCCTGTATATAGCCTCGTACCGGTACCCCCTGTATATAGCCTGTATATACCTCGTACCGTACCCCTGTATATACCTTATATAGCCTCTGTACCGTACACGGTACCCCCTGTATATAGCCTGTATATAGCCTCGTACCTACCCCCTGTATATAGCCCGTACGTACCCCCTGTATATAGCCTGTATATAGCCTCTGTACCGGTACCCCCTGTATATAGCCTGTATATAGCCTCTGTACCGGTACCCCCTGTATATAGCCTGTATATAGCCTCTGTACCGGTACCCCCTGTATATAGCCTGTATATAGCCTCGGTACCGGTACCCCCTGTATATAGCCTCTGTACCGGTACCCCCTGTATATAGCCTGTATATAGCCTCTGTACCGGTACCCCCTGTATATAGCCTGTATATAGCCTTGTATATAGGTATAGCCGATAGACTATGCTACCGGGTACCACCCTGTATATAGCCTGTATATAGCCTCTGTACCGGTACCCCCTGTAATATAGCCTCTGTACCGGTACCCCCTGTATATAGCCTGTATATAGCCTCTGTACCGGTACCCAGGGGCGGTGTGTTCAATAGGGCGATATGGGCGACGCACTGCCAAACGGGAAAAGGAAGGGATTTTTTTTCTAATCAATTATATCACGGCAACAGTAGTTATCAGTGTTGTAATCTAGACGTCTGATCTGCCACAGTGCCACTAAATGTCCAATCAGGCTAAAGTCGTGCTTCAAATGGCCCCCCCCCCCTTTTGGGGCGATTTCAGTCAGGTTGAAAATCGCCCAGAAGTCTGTCATAGACTCCCATGTAAAATCTATTTTTTTCAAATATCAGAGCTTTCAATACAATCTCTATGGGTTTCTGAGGGCTTGCACTTACGCGCTTTCGTCATACGTAACATAACCATGAACGTAACTAAGAAAAGAGCGGGTAGCCTCGTCAATCAATTCACTACTACTATCAAAATGGCTAGGCTTCAGTGCAACTCGATTGTGTCTTTGAAAGAAGTTCCTTTTTGTCGGCGAACAAATGAAGATAAATTGGCAACGAAACAATTAGGACCTCCCAGACCAAATTTAATAATTCAACAGGTTTCTACTAAAGGGGGGAAGTCCTACACCCGAGGATTTTCCAAAAATTGGTACGAACGAAAAACCTGGCTAGCAGGCTGCGATGTAGCTAATGCAGTCTTCTGCTACCCCCCTGCTTACTCTTTCACCCTGAAGGCGGCACGGCAGACAGCACCGCTTGGACAGCGACTGGTGTGTAACGGACATGCACCATCTTTCAGGAAAGATTAAGAAACATGAGCTGTCAAAGACCCACATGGATAGCTGTTTGAGATTGTCTGCTTTGGGGAGAGTGAACATTCCCACTCAACTGGATGAGGGATACAGGCTAGCTGTCCGCCGCCACAACGATGAGGTTAGTGTTGATAATCACAAGTTTACTGGAGAACTGAAACTGACAAGGCTGACAAGATAGGACCCTTTTGTCCATTGTTATTGGATAGGAACAGAACTTATAACCAGCTCCTGACCTAAATAGATCTTAGCACAACATTTTACTCAACATATCATATTCCATATTCACTATAACAAATATATTTACTACGACATTAGCAAGAACCGCCACATCCTCAGCCGGCTAATCCAGTGTGTGAAGTTTTGCGGAGTGTTTGAGTTAGCTTTGCGAGGCAAAGATGAAACTGAGGGCTCCACCAACCCTGGTAAGCCAACACTTTTGAGATCAGTCAATAAATGCTTCTGGTATTGACTTATATGCTGCCCCTGTCTTCATGTTGTTGCTGGACATATCTTTTTTAAAATGTGTGTAGGTCACCTAAATCATCAGAAAAATTGCCCCCCCTGAGAATTTTTTCAGGAGCCGCCACTGCCGGTACCCCCTGTATATAGCCTGTATATAGCCTCGGTACCGGTACCCCCTGTATATAGCCTCATTATTGTTATTTTATTGTTACTTTTTTTTTACTTTAGTCTTTATTTTTCTTCACTGAATGGTTGGTTCAGGGCTTGTAAGGAAGCATTTCACGGTGAGGTCTACACCTGTTGTAATTGGCGCATGTGACAAATAAAATACAATGTGATTTAATTTCAAGTATTTTTAGACATCCTAATTGGTATGTCGAATGTTATGTTCCTTTTGATGGCGTAGAAGGCCCTTGTTGCCTTGTCCATTTCGTTGTGTTAGGCTTTAAAACAACATCCACAATGACCATGTTTTACACTGTTTCAACCTGGAACCCAGTGTTTTCCACTGTTTCAACCTGGAACCCAGTGTTTTCCACTGTTTCAACCTGGAACCCAGTGTTTTCCACTGTTTCAACCTGGAACCCAGTGTTTTCCACTGTTTCAACCTGGAACCCAGTGTTTTCCACTGTTTCAACCTGGAACCCAGTGTTTTCCACTGTTTCAACCTGGAACCCAGTGTTTTCCACTGTTTCAACCTGTTGTTGAACTTCAAATGGATCGATCACAGTGAGGTGAGTTTTTAAAGTAAGAAAGGCAGAAAGGGTTACTGATAGGCCTACTGTAGGGTTGCTAACAGCAGATAGGCCTACTGCAGGGTTAGGGCTAACAGCAGATAGGCCTACTGTAGGGTTAGGGCTAACAGCAGATAGGCCTACTGTAGGTCTGTTCTAAAGGGTTGCTAACAGCAGATAGGCCTACTGTAGGGTTGGGGTTAGGGTTAGAAAGGGTTAGGGTTAGGGCTGACTGCAGAAAGGACTACTGTAGGTCTGTTCTATAGGCCTACTGTAGGGTTGCTAACAGCAGAAAGGCCTACTGTAGGGTTGCTGACTGCAGATAGGCCTACTGTAGGGTTGCTAACAGCAGATAGGCCTACTGTAGGGTTGCTAACAGCAGATAGGCCTACTGTAGGGTTGCTAACAGCAGATAGGCCTACTGTAGGGTTGCTAACAGCAGATAGGCCTACTGTAGGGTTGCTAACAGCAGATAGGCCTACTGTAGGGTTGCTAACAGCAGATAGGCCTACTGTAGGGTTGCTGACTGCAGGTAGGCCTACTGTAGGGTTGCTGACTGCAGGTCTGTTCCTCTTCTAAAGGCCTACTGTAGGGTTGCTGACTGCAGAAAGGCCTACTGTAGGGTTGCTAACAGCAGATAGGCCTACTGTAGGGTTGCTGACTGCAGAAAGGCCTACTGTAGGGTTGCTGACTGCAGAAAGGCCTACTGTAGGGTTGCTGACTGCAGAAAGGCCTACTGTAGGGTTGCTGACTGCAGAAAGGCCTACTGTAGGGTTGCTGACTGCAGATAGGCCTACTGTAGGGTTGCTGACTGCAGAAAGGCCTACTGTAGGGTTGCTGACTGCAGAAAAGGCCTACTGTGGGTTGCTGACTGCAGGTCTGGTTCCTCTTCTAAAGGCACTACTGTCAGTAGGTTGCTAACAGCAGATAGGCCTACTGTAGGCTTGTGATTCTCAACAGTCGCTCTGTTCCTTCCTTCTAAATTCCCCTATAGTATTATTCCCCAAGTTCCTCTTCTAAATTCCCCTATAGTATTCCTCTTCTAAATTTACCCTATAGTATTCCTCTTTCTAATATCTTCATCCCTATAGTATTATCCTCTTCCTAAATCCCTCATCATAGTATTCCTCTTCTAAATTACCCTATAGTATTCCTCTTCTAAATTCCCCTATAGTATTCCTCTTCTAAATTCCACTATAGTATTCCTCTTCTAAATTCCCCTATAGTATTCCTCTTCTAAATTCCCCTATAGTAAGTTTCGTTTTAAGAGTTCCACTAAGATCTCTGTTAATCCACTCATAATCCGTCTTTACACTGTCCCTATAGTATTCCTCTTCCTAAATTCCACTATGTATTCTCTTTAATTCACTATAGCAGTTCCTCTTCTAAATTCCACTATAGAAGGTTGGCTTCTGTTCTGGAGACAGGGTTGCCCTATCTGTAGTACTGCTCTAGAGTTCCCTTATACTGTAGTACTAGGACAGGTGGCTTTATAGTGTACTGGAGGCAGCAGGTTGCGCTTACTATACTGTATACTGGAGGAGCAGGTTGCTTCATACCTAGTACTGGAGACAGGTTGGCTTATACTGTAGTACTGGAGTAGCAGGGTTGGCTTTATACTGTAGTACTGGAGGAGAAGGGTTGGCTTATACTGTAGTACTGGAGGAGCAGGGTTGGCTATATACTGGAGTACTGGAGGCGCAGGGTTGGCTTTATATCTGAGTACTGGAGGAGCAGGGTTGGCTTTATACTGTAGTACTGGAGGAGCAGGGTTGGCTTTATACTGGTAGTACTGGAGGAGCAGGGTTGGCTTTATACTGGAGTACTGGAGGGCAGGGTTGCTTATAACTGGAGTACTGGAGGAGCAGGGTTGGCTATATAATGAGTACTGGAGGAGCAGGGTTGGCTTATAACTGGAGTACTGGAGAGCAGGGTTGGCTTATACTGTAGTACTGGAGGAGCAGGGTTAGCTTATACTGTAGTACTGGAGGAGCAGGGTTGGCTTTATACTGGAGTACTGGAGGAGCAGGGTTGGCTTATACTGGAGTACTGGAGGAGCAGGGTTAGCTTTATACTGGAGTACTGGAGGAGCAGGGTTGGCTTTATACTGTAGTACTGGAGGAGAAGGGTTGGCTTATACTGTAGTACTGGAGGAGCAGGGTTGGCTTTATACTGTAGTACTGGAGGAGCAGGGTTGGCTTTATACTTAGTACTGGAGGAGCAGGGTTGGCTTTATACTGTAGTACTGGAGTAGCAGGGTTGGCTTTATACTGTAGTACTGGAGGAGCAGGGTTGGCTTTATACTGTAGTACTGGAGGAGCAGGGTTGGCTTATACTGGAGTACTGGAGGAGCAGAGTTGGCCTTATACTGTAGTACTGGAGGAGCATGGTTGGCTTATACTGCAGTACTGGAGGAGCAGGGTTGGCTTATACTGCAGTACTGGAGGAGAAGGGTTGGCTTATACTGGAGTACTGGAGGAGCAGGGTTGGCTTATACTGGAGTACTGGAGGAGCAGGGTTGGCTTATACTGGAGTACTGGAGGAGAAGGGTTGGCTATATACTGTAGTACTGGAGGAGCAGGGTTGGCTTGTACTGGAGGTGAAGGGTTGGCTTATACTGTAGTACTGGAGGAGCAGGGTTAGCTTATACTGTAGTACTGGAGGAGCAGGGTTGGGAAACACTGATCTAGCTTTATACTGTAGTATTGGAGGAGCAGGGTTGGCTTTATACTGGAGGAGCAGGGTTGGCTTTATACTGTAGTACTGGAGGAGCAGGGTTGGCTTCATACTGTAGTATTGGAAGAGCAGGGTTGGCTTATACTGTAGTACTGGAGGAGCAGGGTTGGCTTATACTGTAGTACTGGAGGAGCAGGGTTGGCTTATACTGGAGGAGCAGGGTTGGCTTTATACTGTAGTACTGGAGGAGCAGGGTTGGCTTTATACTGGAGTACTGGAGGAGCAGGGTTGGCTTTATACTGGAGTACTGGAGGAGCAGGGTTGGCTTTATACTGGAGTACTGGAGGAGCAGGGTTGGCTTTATACTGTACTGGAGGAGCAGGGTTGGCTTTATACTGTAGTACTGGAGGAGCAGGGTTGGCTTATACTGTAGTACTGGAGGAGCAGGGTTGGCTTTATACTGGAGTACTGGAGGCACAGGGTTAGCTTATACTGTAGTACTGGAGGATTGGGTTGGCTTATACTGTAGTACTGGAGGAGCAGGGTTGGCTATATAATGTAGTACTGGAGGCGCAGGGTTGGCTTTATACTGGAGTACTGGAGGCGCAGGGTTGGCTTATACTGGAGTACTGGAGGAGCAGGGTTGGCTTTATACTGTAGTACTGTAGGAGCAGGGTTGGCTTATACTGTAGTACTGTAGGAGCAGGGTTGGCTTATACTGTAGTACTGTAGTAGCAGGGTTGGCTTTATACTGGAGTACTGGAGGCGCAGGGTTAGCTTATACTGTAGTACTGGAGGCGCAGGGTTAGCTTATACTGTAGTACTGGAGGAGCAGGGTTGGCTATATAATGGAGTACTGGAGGCGCAGGGTTGGCTTTATACTGGAGTACTGGAGGCGCAGGGTTGGCTTATACTGTAGTACATGGTAGGAGCAGGGTTGGCTTTATACTGGAGTACTGGAGGAGCAGGGTTGGCTTTATACTGGAGTACTGGAGGAGCAGGGTTGGCTTTATACTGTAGTCCTGGAGGAGCAGGGTTGGCTTTATACTGTAGTACTGGAGGAGCAGGGTTGGCTTTATACTGTAGTACTGGAGGAGCAGGGTTGGCTTATACTGTAGTACTGGAGGAGCAGGGTTGGCTTTATACTGGAGTACTGGAGGCACAGGGTTAGCTTATACTGTAGTACTGGAGGATTGGGTTGGCTTATACTGTAGTACTGGAGGAGCAGGGTTGGCTATATAATGTAGTACTGGAGGCGCAGGGTTGGCTTTAGACTGGAGTACTGAAGGCGCAGGGTTGGCTTATACTGTAGTACTGGAGGAGCAGGTTGGCTTTATACTGTAGTACTGTAGGAGCAGGGTTGGCTTATACTGTAGTACTGGAGGAGCAGGGTTAGCTTATACTGTAGTACTGGAGGAGCAGGGTTGGGAAACACTGATCTAGCTTTATACTGTAGTACTGGAGGAGCAGGGTTGGGAAACACTGATCTAGCTTTATACTGTAGTACTGGAGGAGCAGGGTTGGCTTCATACTGTAGTACTGGAGGAGCAGGGTTGGCTTATACTGTAGTACTGGAGGAGCAGGGTTGGCTTATACTGTAGTACTGGAGGAGCAGGGTTGGCTTATACTGTAGTACTGGAGGAGCAGGGTTGGCTTCATACTGCAGTACTGGAGGAGCAGGGTTGGCTTTATACTGTAGTACTGGAGGAGCAGGGTTGGCTTATACTGTAGTACTGGAGGAGCAGGGTTGGGAAACACTGATCTAGCTTATACTGTAGTACTTGAGGAGAAGGGTTGGCTTTATACTGTAGTACTGGAGGAGAAGGGTTGGCTTTATACTGTAGTACTGGAGGAGCAGGGTTGGCTTTATACTGTAGTACTGGAGGAGCAGGGTTGGCTTTATACTGGAGTACTGGAGGAGCAGGGTTGGCTTTATACTGGAGTACTGGAGGAGCAGGGTTGACTTTATACTGTAGTACTGGAGGAGCAGGGTTGGCTTTATACTGTAGTACTGGCGGAGCAGGGTTGGCTTTATACTGGAGTACTGGAGGAGAAGGGTTAGCTTTATACTGGAGTACTGGAGGAGCAGGGTTAGCTTTATACTGTAGTACTGGAGGAGCAGGGTTGGCTTTATACTGGAGTACTGGAGGAGCAGGGTTGGCTTTATACTGGAGTACTGGAGGAGCAGGGTTGGCTTTATACTGGAGTACTGGAGGAGCAGGGTTGGCTTTATACTGGAGTACTGGAGGAGCAGGGTTGGCTTTATACTGTAGTACTGGAGGAGCAGGGTTGGCTTTATACTGGAGTACTGGAGGAGCAGGGTTGGCTTATACTGTAGTACTGGAGGAGCAGGGTTGGCCTTATACTGGAGTACTGGAGGAGCAGGGTTGGCTTTATACTGTAGTACTGGAGGAGCAGGGTTGGCCTTATACTGGAGTACTGGAGGAGCAGGGTTGGCTTTATACTGTAGTACTGGAGGAGCAGGGTTGGCTTATACTGTAGTACTGGAGGAGCAGGGTTGGCCTTATACTGGAGTACTGGAGGAGCAGGGTTGGCTTTATACTGGAGTACTGGAGGAGCAGGGTTGGCTTTATACTGTAGTACTGGCGGAGCAGGGTTGGCCTTATACTGGAGTACTGGAGGAGCAGGGTTGGCCTTATACTGGAGTACTGGAGGAGCAGGGTTGGCTTTATACTGGAGTACTGGAGGAGCAGTGTTGGCCTTATACTGGAGTACTGGAGGAGCAGGGTTGGCTTTATACTGTAGTACTGGAGGAGCAGGGTTGGCTTTATGCTGTAGTCAGACACATAGGGGGTATCCTAAATGACACTGTATTTTATATAAATAATAATAATAATAATAATAATATAGTGCACTGCACTCCTTTTGACCGTGGGGCAGGTAGCCATTGTAGTTCCCCTTCTCCCCACTGTTATAATGATGTTAGTTCCCCTTCTCCCCACTGTTATAATGATGTTAGTTCCCCTTCTCCCCACTGTTGTAATGATGTTAGTTCCCCTTCTCCCCACTGTTGTAATGATGTTTAGAGTTGAGCCGCTCCCCCTGGTCTAATGGTGCGTTTGAATCGTTTTGGTTGGGAAACAGCATCCGGACGCACCATAAGACATGATCTGATTACATCAGAGGAAGCTGTGGCTACATAGCTGAGACCAGGTTCCAGATGGACCAGTGAAGCGTGTGTTGTGAAGTCAGTTTACTGTAGTGAAGGGGGATTCCTGTATAATTCTTTCCATCTGGTCCCCTGGCTGATTGCGTAAAGCTCAGAAGGATCCATTTGGGGTGTTGATCCACCCCAGACCTTGGGATCAGCATTATTCCTGTCTCTACTTATGATTTCCTGATGTGTTCTGTAGAACTGATTCACTCAGAGAGAAGTGAAACAGGATGTGTGTGTACTGTACTATGTGTTTTGGTTTACTGTATTGTTCCATACTCAGGGATGCGGGTGTATCTTAAGGTTTGTTAACTATATAATAGTTGTGTGTTGGTGATTCCTCCTGGTCAGGACACAGACAGGAGACTCCAGACCTCTAAAACTGTGTCGTAATGTTCTGAAACTCAGCACAATATTAGGACTGTTAGACGAGACAGAGAAGAGATGAAACCTTGTTTAGTTTTAGAATCAACCCTCAGGTCTTTTAAAGGCTCATGTTATTCTATCACCACACAGAGAGACAGACCCAGAGAGACCCAGTTTAGTGCCCTGTAGTTCACCAGTCCAGACCCAGTTTAGTGTCCTGTAGTTCACCAGTCCAGACCCAGTTTAGTGTCCTGTAGTTCACCATCCAGACCCAGTTTATTGTCCTGTAGTTCACCATCCAGACCCAGTTTAGTGTCCTGTAGTTCACCAGTCCAGACCCAGGTTAGTGCCCTGTAGTTCACCAGTCCAGACCCAGTTTAGTGCCCTGTAGTTCACCATCCAGACCCAGTTTAGTGCCCTGTAGTTCACCAGTCCAGACCCAGTTTAGTGTCCTGTAGTTCACCATCCAGACCCAGTCCAGACCCTGTAGTTCACCATCCAGACCCAGTTTAGTGCCCTGTAGTTCACCATCCAGACCCAGTTTAGTGCCCTGTAGTTCACCATCCAGACCCAGTTTATTGTCCTGTAGTTCACCATCCAGACCCAGTTTATTGTCCTGTAGTTCACCATCCAGACCCAGTTTAGTGTCCTGTAGTTCACCATCCAGACCCAGTTTAGTGTCCTGTAGTTCACCAGTCCAGACCCAGTTTAGTGTCCTGTAGTTCACCATCCAGACCCAGTTTAGTGTCCTGTAGTTCACCAGTCCAGACCCAGTTTAGTGTCCTGTAGTTCACCAGTCCAGACCCAGTTTATTGTCCTGTAGTTCACCAGTCCAGACCCAGTTTAGTGTCCTGTAGTTCACCATCCAGACCCAGTTTAGTGTCCTGTAGTTCACCAGTCCAGACCCAGTTTAGTGTCCTGTAGTTCACCATCCAGACCCAGTTTATTGTCCTGTAGTTCACCATCCAGACCCAGTTTAGTGTCCTGTAGTTCACCAGTCCAGACCCAGTTTAGTGCCCTGTAGTTCACCAGTCCAGACCCAGTTTAGTGTCCTGTAGTTCACCATCCAGACCCAGTTTAGTGTCCTGTAGTTCACCAGTCCAGACCCAGTTTAGTGTCCTGTAGTTCACCAGTCCAGACCCAGTTTAGTGTCCTGTAGTTCACCAGTCCAGACCCAGTTTAGTGTCCTGTAGTTCACCATCCAGATCCAGTTTAGTGCCCTGTAGTTCACCATCCAGACCCAGTTTAGTCCCCTGTAGTTCACCATCCAGACCCAGTTTAGTCCCCTGTAGTTCACCATCCAGACCCCGTTTAGTGCCCTGTAGTTCACCATCCAGACCCAGTTTAGTGTCCTGTAGTTCACCATCCAGACCCCGTTTAGTGCCCTGTAGTTCACCAGTCCAGACCCCGTTTAGTGCCCTGTAGTTCACCAGTCCAGACCCCGTTTAGTGTCCTGTAGTTCACCATCCAGACCCAGTTTAGTGCCCTGTAGTTCACCAGTCCAGACCCAGTTTAGTGTCCTGTAGTTCACCATCCAGACCCTGTAGTTCACCAGTCCAGACCCAGTTTAGTGTCCTGTAGTTCACCAGTCCAGACCCAGTTTAGTGTCCTGTAGTTCACCAGTCCAGACCAAGTTTAGTGCCCTGTATTTCACCAGTCCAGACCCAGTTTAGTGCCCTGTAGTTCACCAGTCCAGACCCAGTTTAGTGTCCTGTAGTTCACCATCCAGACCCAGTTTAGTGTCCTGTAGTTCACCAGTCCAGACCCAGTTTAGTGTCCTGTAGTTCACCATCCAGACCCCGTTTAGTGCCCTGTAGTTCACCAGTCCAGACCCCGTTTAGTGCCCTGTAGTTCACCAGTCCAGACCCCGTTTAGTGTCCTGTAGTTCACCATCCAGACCCAGTTTAGTGCCCTGTAGTTCACCAGTCCAGACCCAGTTTAGTGTCCTGTAGTTCACCAGTCCAGACCAAGTTTAGTGCCCTGTATTTCACCAGTCCAGACCCAGTTTAGTGCCCTGTAGTTCACCAGTCCAGACCCAGTTTAGTGTCCTGTAGTTCACCATCCAGACCCAGTTTAGTGTCCTGTAGTTCACCAGTCCAGACCCAGTTTAGTGTCCTGTAGTTCACCATCCAGACCCCGTTTAGTGCCCTGTAGTTCACCAGTCCAGACCCCGTTTAGTGCCCTGTAGTTCACCAGTCCAGACCCCGTTTAGTGTCCTGTAGTTCACCATCCAGACCCAGTTTAGTGCCCTGTAGTTCACCAGTCCAGACCCAGTTTAGTGTCCTGTAGTTCACCATCCAGACCCTGTAGTTCACCAGTCCAGACCCAGTTTAGTGTCCTGTAGTTCACCAGTCCAGACCCAGTTTAGTGTCCTGTAGTTCACCAGTCCAGACCAAGTTTAGTGCCCTGTATTTCACCAGTCCAGACCCAGTTTAGTGCCCTGTAGTTCACCAGTCCAGACCCAGTTTAGTGTCCTGTAGTTCACCATCCAGACCCAGTTTAGTGTCCTGTAGTTCACCAGTCCAGACCCAGTTTAGTGCCCTGTAGTTCACCAGTCCAGACCCAGGTTAGTGTCCTGTAGTTCACCAGTCCAGACCCAGGTTAGTGTCCTGTAGTTCACCAGTCCAGACCCAGTTTAGTGTCCTGTAGTTCACCAGTCCAGACCCAGTTTAGTGCCCTGTAGTTCACCAGTCCAGACCCAGTTTAGTGTCCTGTAGTTCACCAGTCCAGACCCAGTTTAGTGTCCTGTAGTTCACCAGTCCAGACTCAGTTTAGTGTCCTGTAGTTCACCAGTCCAGACCCAGTTTAGTGTCCTGTAGTTCACCAGTCCAGATCCAGTTTAGTGCCCTGTAGTTCACCATCCAGACTAAGTTTATTGTCCTGTAGTTCACCATCCAGACCCAGTTTAGTGTCCTGTAGTTCACCATCCAGACCCAGTTTAGTGCCCTGTAGTTCACCAGTCCAGACTCAGTTTAGTGTCCTGTAGTTCACCATCCAGACCCTGTTTTGTGTCCTGTAGTTCACCAGTCCAGACCCAGTTTAGTGTCCTGTAGTTCACCATCCAGACCCAGTTTAGTGTCCTGTAGTTCACCATCCAAACCCAGTTTAGTGTCCTGTAGTTCACTATCCAGACCCAGTTTAGTGTCCTGTAGTTCACTATCCAGACCCAGTTTAGTGCCCTGTAGTTCACTATCCAGACCCAGTTTAGTGCCCTGTAGTTCACCATCCAGACCCAGTTTAGTGCCCTGTAGTTCACCATCCAGACCCAGTTTAGTGCCCTGTAGTTCACCAGTCCAGACCCAGTTTAGTGCCCTGTAGTTCACCAGTCCAGACCCAGTTTAGTGTCCTGTAGTTCACCAGTCCAGACCCAGTTTAGTGCCCTGTAGTTCACCATCCAGACCCAGTTTAGTGCCCTGTAGTTCACCATCCAGACCCAGTCCAGACCCTGTAGTTCACCATCCAGACCCAGGTTAGTGTCCTGTAGTTCACCATCCAGACCCAGTCCAGACCCTGTAGTTCACCAGTCCAGACCCAGGTTAGTGTCCTGTAGTTCACCATCCAGACCCAGTTTATTGTCCTGTAGTTCACCATCCAGACCCAGTTTAGTGCCCTGTAGTTCACCATCCAGACCCAGTTTAGTGTCCTGTAGTTCACCAGTCCAGACCCAGTTTATTGTCCTGTAGTTCACCATCCAGACCCAGTTTAGTGCCCTGTAGTTCACCATCCAGACCCAGTTTAGTGTCCTGTAGTTCACCATCCAGACCCAGTTTAGTGTCCTGTAGTTCACCATCCAGACCCAGGTTAGTGTCCTGTAGTTCACCATCCAGACCCAGGTTAGTGTCCTGTAGTTCACTATGCAGACCCAGTTTAGTGCCCTGTAGTTCACCATCCAGACCCAGTTTAGTGTCCTGTAGTTCACCAGTCCAGACCCAGTTTAGTGTCCTGTAGTTCACCATCCAGACCCAGTTTATTGTCCTGTAGTTCACCATCCAGACCGTTTAGTGTCCTGTAGTTCACCAGTCCAGACCCAGTTTAGTGTCCTGTAGTTCACTATCCAGACCCAGTTTAGTGTACTGTAGTTCACTATCCAGACCCAGTTTATTGTCCTGTAGTTCACCATCCAGACCCTGTTTAGTGTCCTGTAGTTCACCAGTCCAGACCCAGTTTAGTGTCCTGTAGTTCACCATCCAGACCCAGTTTAGTGTCCTGTAGTTCACCAGTCCAGACCCAGTTTAGTGTCCTGTAGTTCACCAGTCCAGACCCAGTTTAGTGTCCTGTAGTTCACCAGTCCAGACTCAGTTTAGTGTCCTGTAGTTCACCAGTCCAGACCCAGTTTAGTGTCCTGTAGTTCACCAGTCCAGATCCAGTTTAGTGCCCTGTAGTTCACCATCCAGACTCAGTTTATTGTCCTGTAGTTCACCATCCAGACCCAGTTTAGTGTCCTGTAGTTCACCATCCAGACCCAGTTTAGTGCCCTGTAGTTCACCAGTCCAGACTCAGTTTAGTGTCCTGTAGTTCACCAGTCCAGACCCTGTTTTGTGTCCTGTAGTTCACCAGTCCAGACCCAGTTTATTGTCCTGTAGTTCACCATCCAGACCCTGTTTAGTGTCCTGTAGTTCACCAGTCCAGACCCAGTTTAGTGTCCTGTAGTTCACCATCCAGACCCAGTTTAGTGTCCTGTAGTTCACCATCCAGACCCAGTTTAGTGTCCTGTAGTTCACTATCCAGACCCAGTTTAGTGTCCTGTAGTTCACTATCCAGACCCAGTTTAGTGCCCTGTAGTTCACCATCCAGACCCAGTTTAGTGCCCTGTAGTTCACCATCCAGACCCAGTTTAGTGTCCTGTAGTTCACCAGTCCAGACCCAGTTTAGTGTCCTGTAGTTCACCAGTCCAGACCCAGTTTAGTGCCCTGTAGTTCACCATCCAGACCCAGTTTAGTGCCCTGTAGTTCACCATCCAGACCCAGTCCAGACCCTGTAGTTCACCATCCAGACCCAGGTTAGTGTCCTGTAGTTCACCATCCAGACCCAGTCCAGACCCTGTAGTTCACCAGTCCAGACCCAGGTTAGTGTCCTGTAGTTCACCATCCAGACCCAGTTTATTGTCCTGTAGTTCACCATCCAGACCCAGTTTAGTGCCCTGTAGTTCACCATCCAGACCCAGTTTAGTGTCCTGTAGTTCACCAGTCCAGACCCAGTTTATTGTCCTGTAGTTCACCATCCAGACCCAGTTTAGTGCCCTGTAGTTCACCATCCAGACCCAGTTTAGTGTCCTGTAGTTCACCATCCAGACCCAGTTTAGTGTCCTGTAGTTCACCAGTCCAGACCCAGGTTAGTGTCCTGTAGTTCACCATCCAGACCCAGGTTAGTGTCCTGTAGTTCACTATCCAGACCCAGTTTAGTGCCCTGTAGTTCACCATCCAGACCCAGTTTAGTGTCCTGTAGTTCACCATCCAGACCCAGTTTAGTGTCCTGTAGTTCACCATCCAGACCCAGGTTAGTGTCCTGTAGTTCACTATCCAGACCCAGTTTAGTGTCCTGTAGTTCACCAGTCCAGACCCAGTTTAGTGTCCTGTAGTTCACTATCCAGACCCAGTTTAGTGTCCTGTAGTTCACTATCCAGACCCAGTTTATTGTCCTGTAGTTCACCATCCAGACCCTGTTTAGTGTCCTGTAGTTCATCAGTCCAGACCCAGTTTAGTGTCCTGTAGTTCACCATCCAGACCCAGT